AGGTCCTGGATGCGGCAACTCAGCATGGCGAGGTCGGAGACCACTGCTCTCAGCTCCTTCACGCTCTCCAGCAGACCATCCTCGGGCACTGCGGGCAGGGCAGAGACTCGTCAGCGGCACGGAGGGAACATCAGCCCCAGGGGACACAGAGCCACGCAGGAAGGCATGGCTGCTCGTCCCCCCGTGCAGGCAGCCCTGAAGCTTCGGAGCAGGGGCTGGGGCAGGGGGACAGCCACCCTACCTGTTGGCTTTGGTGTAGAAGCAGGTTTGTCCCTGGTAAATGCACTCCCACCTCCGGCAGCTTCATCAGCGTCTACGAGAGGAGAGGGCGGAGGTGCTGTGCGCAGCGCTGCGTGACCACAGCCCACCCACGCACCCATCCAACCCGGGGAGCTCAGGGGGGAAGACCCCGATTGCGTGCAGGACCCGTGACCCAGTCCATGGCCACCACAAGGGAACGACTGGGGAAACCACGAGGAAAAGCACGGGAATGGTGAATGGCACCGGGATCTCCTCCTCACCCAGCACCAGTGCACGTTCCCAGCGTGGGAGGGAGGGATGCCCATCCCCAGGAACCAGCCAGCGGGTCCCAGCTCACCTTTCCCCGACACCGCTTTTAGGACGCTGCCCACGAAGGAGTCTCCGGCGCGGTACGGGGTGCGGCATGCCGGCGTGCGGCATGCTGGGGTCCAGGCACGGTGGGGTGTCTGCCAGCTTGGTGTCCGTGGAGCCGGGGTCCAGGCTCTGCTTCTCGATGGGACATCGTCATCCTTCAAGAAGGGAGGGAGAGCACAGCACGGGAGCACGGCTTGTGACAGGTCTGTGCTGCCCCGATGACCAGGAGGGTCCTCAAAGCCACGCCATGGAGAGCCACAGGGGTCTGACACCACCACCCCGTCCCCCAGGACACCTCCTCGTCCTTGTCCCCGGGGTGGGGATCCTACCTCCTCTTGCAGAGCAGCCCTGAGGCAGTCGGCAAGCTCCTGCAGCCGCATCTTGCTCTCGGTGATGTCTGTGGAGCACCAGGAGACTTTGTCCCTCTTGAGCTGCAAGTCGCGGAGCTCGGCCTTGGTGCTTTCCAGCTCCTGGCTGAGGGCAACCTGCTCCTCCCTGCGGGGTGGCATCAGCCTCAGTGGGAGCAGCGTTCCCCCTCCTCAATGTGGCATGGGGACGTTTCACGTGCCTGTCTCCCACCGTGGCCCAAGGGGGTGCAAACGCCCCAGATTTAGGCAGCTTCCCCCAAGATGAGGCATCCTCTGGACTTCCCCACAGCCTCTTCCACCCGCCTGGGCAGCAGGGACTGGAGCCATGTCCCCCTGTCTGCCCCCAACCACCCAGGAGGGGCTCGATTTCCCAAAATAGAGGGGTTCGAGTGGAGGTGGTGAGCGGGGTCAATACCGCAGGCGCTGGTGGGAGTCCATCAGCTCTTCATACTGCAGGTTGCGCTCCTGTAGGGCGGCCAGCGAGGACTTCTGCTTGGCCTCCACCTCCAGCAGCTGTGTGCGGGACATGCGGTTCTCCTGGTCGAGGAACTGCAAGAGGGTGGGTGGACACAGCCATGAGCAACCAGTTGGAGACCCAAGGGGGGGGGCCACTGGGACCCCCAGCATGGTCCCTCCCACACCTCAGGGTGCTGTTTCCCAATTAGGGGCACCTTTGCTTTTAACAGACCAATCCCAGCGGTTTACCGGGGACACAGGACAGCCTGGGGGACAGCACCATGGCTGCAGTCAGGGGAATTATCCCTGAAAGCTGTCATCCCCCCCCTGCCCGGGAATCGCCGCCGGGCAGGATGGAGAGCAGCGCTACGTGCGGGATGTCAACCGCCCTCGCCGCGGCTCATCATCCCCCCGCCGTGGGAGGGCTAATCCCGCTCCTGGCCGGCCGCCAGCGATCCCGCCAGGCCGTGACGGGGACCGGCAGCGCGTGATGGCGTGGGCAGGGTCAGGCAGCTCCTACCTCCCGGCACTCGGTCGCCTCCCGCAGCTCCTGCAACAGCCCATTGCACTCCCGCTGCAGGGCGTCCCGCTGCTGCGCCAGCCTGTGGGGAGAGGACGGGGTGAGGGGGCGTCGCATTTTGGGGACAAGGGGTGGCAGGAGGTGGCTATGTGGGGTGGGGGGACAATGCCGTGCCCCAAGGGCTCAGACCCACCGGGCCATCTCCTCCCACTGCTTCTCATTCTCTTGCTGCAGCGCATCCCGCTCCTGCTCCAGGTTGGCCAAATTTGTCATCAGGGAGCTCAAGTCTGCAAAGAGCAGAGCCATCAGCACGGATGGGGACGGGGACAGCTCCAGCCCCCATGTCATACCCCTCCTACCTGTGCTGAGGCGCGAGTTGGCCACCGTCAGCTGCTCCAGCTGAGCCACCGCATCCCGCAGGGCCACTGAGGTCTCCTCCAGCTGGCAGGACACCTGCAGAGACACCATCCCCTCCAGGCTTGCTTTGGGCTGCTCTTCCCCATGGGGTGTTCCCACACCAAGGGGTCCCCCCTCGGGTCAGCCGGGATGCAGGGGGAGCATCCCAGACACCCCCAGGCACAGCTCAGCATTGGGCAACCCCCTACGAGGTACCTCCTCCTTGGCTTGAAGAGCTTCATCCGCTTGTTGCCTCATGGCATCTCGCTCCTCCAGGCAGCCCCGCAGCTTGCCGGGCACGTTCTCCAGCACGGCCCGGCACCGTGACACCAGGGTCCTCACCTCCACCCGCTGCGAAGGGGAAAGATGGCGTTAGGCAGAGCTTAGCATGGCACTGCCAGCCCCAGAGCCGGGACAGCACAACCGTGCCGGCTGGTGGCACTGTCCCGCTGTGTGACCAGGGATGGGTTTGGTGCCCGCCGTACCCAGGGCACAAAGGGCTCCGAGGCAGAGCGAAGCGGCACCAGCCTGCAGCACGCCAGCACGGAGGCGAGGGGCTCTGAGCCCACCACCAGTCCCCACCAGGACACCCCTCACCTCTGTGTCCAGGGCTCTCCTTTCCTCCTCCAGGTTTTCAAAGGTGACATCTATGAATTCCCGGAAAGACTGAGCCTCGGCAGCCAGGGATGCCTGTGGAGCAGGAGACGGGTCAGCGCTGCCATGGTGGAAACGCCGCATTTATGGTTGTGGAGGGAGGTGAGCGCCAGCCCCGAGGGCGGATCTGCAGCAGCTTCCCAGCAGCAGCGCCAAGAAACCTCTGGTGAACCCAAGCCCATCACAGACCGTTGCTCAGAGCATCACCCAAGCTCAGTCCATTGGGATACCCTTCCAGCCCCCCAGGAACCCAGGTGGGAGGCAGTGGGAGGTGCCCACCCGCTCAGTACCTGCTTGTCGATGGTGTCCACCAGCAGCGTGCCCAGCTCTCGCTGGGAGGCCAGGCTCTGGTCACGGGCGCTGATCTGGGCACTGGCATGGGCACGGAAGGCCTCCAGGAAGCGATCTCCCTGCCGAGGGAAGAACGCTGCTCCGGGAACAGTGTCGCAACGAGGAGCAACTCCCAGGAACCGTCCCCACACGTTGCTGTTCCCCACTCCCAGCGGGACACAGCCCGAGCCAAAACCCCATCCCGAGAGCTCCAGCCACCCCAGGCAGCCACAAGCACTTCCAGGGCCACACGGTGCTTTTCCCCTGGGGATGCCAGGGAGACCTTCACCCCCAAGAGATGGGCAGATGCAGGATGTCCCACCAAAGGTATGGGGACAGCAGAGCCAGCCCTGACGCCCCCCCCACACACTGTCTGCCGCCATACCTCCTCCTTGGCTCGGAGGGCTTCATCCGCTCGCTGCCTCATGGCATCCCGCTCCTCCAGGCAGCTCCGCAGCTTGCCGGGCACGCTCTCCAGCATGGCCCGGCACCGCCACACCAGGGTCCTCGCCTGCTCCTGCTGAGAGAGGAGACAGCACCAGGAGGCACCGGGTATAGCTGATGGCTGCCACATGTCCCAGCAGTGCCAATGTCTCCCAAAACCTCGGGGCGCGGAGGTGGGGGTCAGCCTGGCTGCACGGGAGCTTACCTCCTGGGAGAGGGCTCCCTGCTCATCCTGCAAACTCTGAAAGGCGGCATCTGCGAGATCCCGAAACAAGGCGCACTGCCTGCTCCAGGCGCTCTGGGGAAGGGAGAAGGACACCGGCGCTCAGGCAGCGCTCCCGGAGCTGGCACAGGCAGCACCGGGCACAGGCGTGCCCTGCCTTGGCTGAGACCCGGCGCACTCATCGCACGCCAGCCGGCCAAGACGCACCATCCTCGCAGCGGCCACCTCCAGCTCCCGCCGCAGGTCCTGCTCTGCTCCCCGCTGCCGCTGCAGAGCCTCCGTTTTCCTCCGCAGCTCGAGGTAGAGGTTGCGGTAGATCTCCTCCTCCTAAGGGCATCCCGGCAGAGCAGAGGGGGCTTCGCACCAGCCCCGCTCCACCCTGGGGTCCAACGAGGGCTGTGACACCTCCCGTACCATCCTCCCCGCTCCCCACGCGTGCCAGGGATGTTTCCCCGCACAAAGGGTTCAAATCCAGCAAACTCAGCAGGTTGAGCCGAGCGCGATAACGCGGCTGGAGCAGCACCGGGCGCGTGATGCCGTACGCCATGCTGTGCCGCAGCAGCATCGCTTTACTTCTGCGTGCAGCCGGGGCCACCGTCCTACCGGTGGCACGTGGGCACAGGCACGGCACCGAGGAACAGGGTGGCATCGCCCTGGCAAGGACTCTTACCCCTTTGGGGTGGGTGACATCCGTCTGCGTGAGCGCGTCCCTCTGCTCTGCCGGCCCCACGCCGGCCAGCAGCCGCTGGCTCTCCTGCCAGTGGCGCAGCCGGAGGGAGAGGGCTTCCATGATGATGAGGGTGCTCTCCAGCCGCCCCTCCAGCTCTGCCCGCGGCAGGGACTTCAGCTGCTCCCGGGGACAGCTGAGGACAGAGAGAGACGGAGCTTGGGGAAGGGACAGCCTACGGGTGCCGCAGCCCCGTCCCGGAGAGTGCACGTCCCCACACTTACTGCCAGAGTAGGGAGTCCGTTTCAGCAGCGCTGTCCTTGGCGCAGGGGGGGCCACCCACGGACGTGTTCGTGCTCCTCTCCTGTAGCTCCCGAGGGGTCATGAAGGTGCCGGTGACCACAGTGGGCATGGGGGTGATGCTGGTGCCGGTGGCCACAGTGGACACAGGGGTGACGCTGGTGCCAGCGACCGCGGTAGC